GTGTGTGTGTGTGTGTGTGTGTGTGTGTGTGTGTGTGTGCGTGTGTGTGCGTGTGTGTGTGTTGTACTGCACAGTTGTGTTGTACATGCATGTCAGTGTGAGGATTGCATATGTACTGGGCTAAGGCCCCCAACAAGCCTTGTGCCCGCCCTAAGTGAAGGCGGGCCTGTAAATGCCCAGAAGGCCCTGCATTCGACATTTCATTAAGTGGGGGCTATACAGTTTCAGCATGCCAGCTGGTTGGGTGCACGCCAGTTGGTTGGATGCACGAAGTCCAGAATTCTGCAAACGCAGGTTGGATGCCGAATTTGCCAAAGGGAAACCGGTCCACTGTCTGAATCTGGACGATGATCAGGATGAAAGAGGCACAACTGTGCAGCCTGGGTCCTTAACTGTACTCGCCTTGGCAGAGCAACTGGGACCCAGGCCCACGCTATCTGTTTTTGCTTTGTTTACATGGACTTCAGTGTCATTTGCAGTTTGGATTTCTGATCTTCATCCACATTCATGTTCCTTGCATCAGTGGGAGATCCCCCAGAAAGTGGCAAAATGCCAAAAACATTTTTATTTTTAAAAAATCCTCCGAATCACCCCAATTTTTTGGGGGGGGATCTCCTAGTCTTGCGCAAGAACATCCCATTTTTTTATTTATTTTTTTTTTAATTTTTAATGCCAAAAACCACTTGTCCGGGATCCCGGACAACTCCCATACCGGACGGTTGGGGGAGACGTCCGGGGGAGACGTCCGGGGGAGACGTCTGGCCCCCAGACCATTGGTAACCTAGGTAGATAGTTAAATACCCACAACCCATGGTTGCGAATTTCATCTTACATCCAGGTAAAGTCATGTTGACTTGACTGGGGAAGACTGATCCCAGATAATTAACTTCCATTATTTTCTTTTCAATTAACTTTTTCAGTTCCTCTCTCAACTTTTATGCTAACGCCATTGCCTCTTGAAAGACAAAGTCACTTCTGTTTTTTCTAACATTTTTGTAATTACATCTGTGATTACAACTCCATCTTTCAACTCACTCTTGAGGATAAATTTTATTTTTTTTCCTTGCTCACTCCTTTTAAATTGAGGGTTTGGTTCTTGATCATCAAGACTGTCAATTAGAGTCTCTTCGACTTTTTTTCTCTTTTTTTCCTCTATCATTTGAGGTGTGAAACGTGCTTGAAAATTCCTCACTTCTCCAATCACCTCATTGGGTTCCATGACAAGTTTCGGTGGTAGATCACCCTCGAACAACATCATGTTGGCTGAACAGACGGGCTCCCTAGGTGAAAATACAACTAATTCAGAAGAAGCCTGAGAAGCAGAATTCTCCCCCAATGAAACTCGCTCAGAGAAGCCTCGTCAGACATGTTTTCCATGACATAGCAAAATTTTATGATTATTATTTGCATGATTCTCTGCTGTTCCGAATAAAAATAAAAGATTCCTAAGACCGAGGACCGTCGAAGACCGCAATTGAAAGGTCTCGCTCGAAGACGGACGCACAAAACAGGAAGGGATTTGCTTTATTTAATTTTATTTTATTTATTGCAAATTGCATCCAAAATCCTGCGTGACAGCCTATTGGCTTTCTGGTCGCCCGAAGTGGCCCGACTGGAAAAAGTGCGACAAAAATAGCGTCGTTGCTGGGGACATAAAAAATTTTCGTGTTCGGAACGAGCCTGGGTCAGTATCAACTTTGAGCTTTTGATTAGGGTTTGAGAACTATTGACAATTCCTGAATTTTCAGACTGACTCTATTTTTTTGATTGAGACATCATTCTCTTGGAAATTTTCAATTGCTAATTGGGTCTTATCGCTTCATGTGTGAGGTACCACACTGGACCGGAGGAGGAGACTGACTTTACTTATTGGAGAGGATGATCACAGATATGCTTTATGAGCCATTAATGTCCTTGAAAAACTGGAAAAGAAAAAAAGAACAAGTCAAAGGGTAAGAGATTCCATCAATAATGCTCACTACTAATCCACTGAAAGAGCTCTCAAAATTTATTATTAAAGGGGTATTCCCTAGGCTACCAGTTGTCTGATTGCCGGTTGTCCTGGACGAACATCCTGTGTGGAGTTGTCCGGGATCCCGGACAACTCATTTTTTCGTATTTGGGAGGGAAAAAAATAAATAAATAAAATTGGTCTGTGCTGCGCATCACCAGGGGACCCCCCCAAAAAAATTGAGGTCATTCGGAGCAAAAACCAAAAAAAAATGAAAACGGTGTTGGGGCTGGGGGGAATCATCATGGGAATGTGTGAAAGGCCCGCTGCTGCAGCTGCTGCATATGTGCACACACTGTACGCACACACACACTATTTACAACCACACGACACACACAATATATACACGCACACACACACACCTACGCACACTATGTAGTATCTACCCATGCATGCATGACACACACATAGACACACATGCACATGAAACGGTTTTCACCTTTGCAGTAGCAGATGCAGATATCAGGGCTCGATCCCTGGACCTCACTCACCTGTGTATAGTACCCCGTAGGTTTGATCCCGTGACCTGCGTCATAGAAGTCCGTAGCTGTTTGTCGTAGGTGTGTAGGAGTCAGGTCTCGAATTATAGATCTGTCAGATAGGGGTCAAGAGTGTTGTAGAGGTCGTAGCTGTAGCCTCTCTGAACAGGTCAAGGTCGTAGCTGCTACAATTTTGAGAGGTCAAGGTCGTAGCTGCTACAGAACCCGAAAGGCCAAGTCTGTAGACTTCCGGAAGCTCCGGAAGTGACCTTTCGGTCTCCGGAGGTCAAGTCTGAGGCAAGTGGGCAAGTGGTGAGCCCAACTGCGTTATGTCAACAGTGCGAGTGCATCGAGTTTGCAGTGCAAACGCATGCAGTCAATGGTACCAGTCCTGTCAGTCCCAATCCAGTCCAGCAAGTACCATGAGGGACTGTGTGTACCATGGGCCGTTGGAAAGGGGCATACCAGCGTTCAACAGAAGTATAAATCAAGAGGCAGCGCCCAGCCATTCATTCATTCTAGCGCAAGCGATGTGGAGGAGGAGGAGGAGGACTTGTGCGAGGTGGTCTGCATGCAAGGGACCTGACTATCCACACCTTGCCAGAGTGTATCACAATGCATGCCACGTTACCAATCACACAGATTATGAACCATCACACATCACAAAGTACAGATGAAAAGTGAACCAAGATGCGCAACTTATATTATTTACAACACATTATAAGAGTATCTCGAGTTGAAGAACCAACAGTGCGATATGTCTCTCCCTCTCATACAACCGCAATGTGAGGCCTGGCTCAAGCGCCACCTCTCAACAACAAGTTAAACGCAGAACAGGTATGTCTCCACCATAGCCAACTTTGTATACCTGACCCTTCTGTCTCACTCTCTCTCCCTCAAGATCTCTGTCTCAGTTCTCTTCTCTCATCATCCATATCTCTGAGCTTTGAGTGGGCGCTCAGGCGCCAGTCTATTTGCCATATGTTGTATGCATGCGAGTTGCAGAATGAAATGAGTCTGATTGCACACACGCTCATGGACTCTATCTACACACACACACACACACACACACACACACACACACACGCGGACAATACTTGTGCAGCGTGTCAGAGACACATAAACACACGCATGTTGCCCTCATCATCACCCTATCACATGCATCCATGTACAACAACAACAACCAGAATCAAAGATAGCATTGAAAGGTGTGCTGTGAACAACAAACACGAACAACAAAACAAAACGAAGCAGAACATGCGCACTACCACCGCAGCAAGTTCAGAGTGCTCAGCACAATAACGAACTGCATGTCTCTGTATCTCTCTCTGTCTCACAATCTTTGTCTCCCACGCAGCATGGTATGAAGATGGCACAAGAATGAGCCACATGACACTGAAGATAACACATGTATCTTTCTATCTCTCTCTACCACCCTCGCAGCCCACCGACGCAGACACACACACGAATTAAGCAAACTGCACCCCGAACAAAGACAGGCACACGCTGATCGACACACAAAATGAAACACATCTCACTACTCCGCGTCATCCTCAGTGTCAGGAGAGCCATCCCCATTTCCACCAAAATCTCCACCCCTCAGACGAGCCTCCTCAGCATAGTCACTACCGGACATCTCGGCCGAGGTGTTGCCATCATCATTGTGGTCAGGATCGTCGTCGAGAACTCGAGAAGAGACTTTTCGTCTCTCTCCGTCACCTGCCTGAGACCTTGTGCACACACCGCTGACAATGCCACGTCCAGCAGGCAACCGCTCAGAAACATCGGGAATCTCTGTATTCACATCTGCTAATGCACTCGGCGCCCATGACTGTCAATGTTGTGCACGGCCTTTGCCTGACCCACGTGGGCGGCCTCGAGGGCGACCAGTACTGACTTTCGATCGTCTGGCAGATGGCTCACCACCTGCCTCATCCCCCCTCAATTTCCTCTTCCTGCCGGCACGAATCGTCTTTGTATTGTCAATGATAACAGACGGTTGTCGTGCAGGAAGCGGGGGCATGCCCAGTGGACTGATCGCACGAGTGCCAGTCCCGGGAGTGTTAAACGTCCCACGACACCTAACAAGACTGGAGCCTTGACTCAGCCTAGATGGCCCGGGTGACTGCACAGAACAAGGAGGAGGTTGGTGGGGCATGCGTGCTAAACTCCCCGACGAGGGTGAACGACTCGTCAAGATGGAGCTGTGTATCCCACCCTCCCTTTCATGACTGGACACGGTGTCCAATGCGCCCCTGCCTCCACTAGAGGCTATCTCCCCTTCTCGTTGGCGCTGTGGTGGCTCCTCGACATGTGCGCCAACATCAACCCGTATAGAGGATTGTGCACCACGAGGGGGCAACAGGGGAATCCCATAAAAAGAGCCTCGACTCAATGTGGTCACTGGTGTAACGCTCTCCTGCGGGTTAACCCTGCCCCTCTCCTTAGTCCTCTCCACCATCACACCACCCACATCATGCAGCACGTTCTCACCCACCCTTTCAACCACCCTCTCGTGGCCCAATCGTTGATCCACACAGACGTCCACCCTGACGTCGAGCCTCTGCTCAGCCCTCTGCTCCACTCTACAATCTCTGGACATGTGTGCCCTTTGCTCTGTCCTCTGCTCCACCAATGCCTCCACCCTGTCTCCCAGTCTCTTCTGGGCCCTCTGCTCCACCGTTGGCATCCCCGACCCTCGGCTCCACACTCCGACCCGCTCTGTGATATGCACCGTTCCCGACCGTCTGCTGAACACTGCTCCAACGTAGACTGTGCACCCTCCTCTCGCCTTTCTTGAACTATGTCATCGACGACGCAGTCCACCCTTTGATGCACTGTTTGCACCACAGTTTGTGTCGCCCTCGGATGATCAGCGACCTGCTCTGCCACCTGCTCCACCGTGTTGGTGTCCTCCGTCCTCTGTTGCGGCCTGTCGACCACACTCTGGTCGATCGTCTGGTGCACCCTTTGCTCTGTCCTCCGCTCCGCCCTCTACTCCGACCCATGCTGAGCACCTGCACTTTGAGATCCCTCGCTTCGACGCACATGGTCAGTGGCACTGCCGGACGCTGTCCCTCCACAGGCATGCGCCTCTACGATTGTGGTGTTGCCAATCACCCTTGCCCCTTGATGAGATGACTCGACACGATCATGGGTTTGAGAAGCGGAGCCTTGTGTGGACCCTGTCGCCCTCGCCTCTCACGGTGGTGTTGATCCATGAACGTCGTCATAGGAGCGATTTTTGTCCCGCTCAGCATCCTCTCTGGCCAACAACCCCTCAACATCGGTCTGACCTCCCACCCTCTCCCGTAGGGTCCTCATTGTGCGGAAACTGCCGCCCATGTATGCGTCGACGTCCTCGTGAGGGTCTAGCCCCGCCCAGTCATCGAGGACATCATGCTGGTCCTCGGCAAGGGTCTTCCCTTTGTCCCTCTCTTGCTGCATGTGCTGCGCCATCTCACGATGCATCCACACGGCATCCGCCCAAGGGCCAGGCTCATAATGATCGCCGACATAGCGAGATGCAGATGTGATGCGATCACGACCGTCCTTATGACGGTTTGCTCGAGCGGCTGCCTCCCACTCATCCTCATCCGCATCGACAGGCAAGACATCTCCATCGTCCATCTCCTCGGGGGGATCCTCAACCATGTCGGCCCACACGTCGATGTAGCGACTCTCAGGCCTCCTGCTAGCGCTGAGAAGTTGCATGTTCCAATGAATGAACACGAGCTTCTCCACACTCGTGGCGGAGAGGTTGTTGCGCCTCTTTGTGTGAATGAAATCATGAGTGGCCCAATTGCGTTCACAAGGACTCGTTGTGGACCACATGCCGAGCACCTTCTTTGCTATTGCCTGCAACCTCGGGTGACCGCCGCCGTGAAGCTGCCACCACAATGCTGGGTGCATCGTCTTACTGGCAGCGTCTCGAACAGCAACCTCGTCCCACCAATGAGGACCGTCCACCGGCCAATACCGAGGATCATCACAGTGGAAGGTCCATAAATCCTCCCACAAGTCTCCCAGCGCCTTTGACTCCCAACCTCCACCCAACATACGAGAGAAATGATCAAGTGTACTTTACACGACGGGTGAGCTGCGATCAGACAACAAAGAGATGTCACGTCGACGAGGATCCAACAAGTAAGCTGCTGCGTGTGCCGGTTGCCGCATCATCGCACATCTGTCTCCCACAATGTCGAAGACCACCTTCCTCTCATCCTCCCGCAGGCCCAATACATCAATTCTCCTCCGCAAGATGGACTCCAAATCCCACAACCCTGGGGGTGATGAACCGTCGAAGTCCATGGCCCTCAAGAAGGTGTAGTAGGGCTCCATCACGTCCATCACTTTCTTGAACTGCTGCCACCACCAGTCCGATCTGCAAAGTCTGCGTACCTCCGGCTCGTCCAGACACGCGTCTCCTGCCCATCGTGCATCTCTCCACTGATCAAAGGACACGACCCCATCAAGCACTATCCTCTGCTCATATAGCCTTTCCAACATCATATATGCAGTCCCAAACCGTATGTCAGTCGGGCGTGTCAGGTCCAAGGCCCCTTTCGCGGTTCGATGAATATGGAGCGCCTTTTGCTTGTTCCGCATGAACTTGATGATCTTATGCGCTCTCTTCATCACTTCAGTGGCCCATGGCCGTGCCGCGATGTCTCTAAGCAGCAAGCTCAAGCAATGCGCCGCGCAAGGGATCCAAGGGATCCGTGCGATGGCAGGGTCTGGGTGGTCTTGTAGAATACTCGCTGCCGCCTTCATAACCTCTGCGTTGTCTGTGCAGATGGCATTCACATTCTCCACCCCTATGTCATCTCGTATCACCCCCTCCCATATCTCTGCCAAACTCACGCCTGTCTTATCTCGTGCCGACATATTGATGATGCGGATAAGGATTGGCCCTGACTGGCTTGCTGCAATGAAGTTCATTATCGGCTTGTTGCGCTGGTCAGTGGCACCATCAGTCATCAAGGTGCAACCGGTGTCCTTCCACTTTGC